CGCTCAAAAACTTGTACACAAATGCTTATAGTAGTATTATTCGAAAAGCTTAAAAGTGGAAGCTGTCTAAATTCCATCAACTGATGAATGGATACACAAATTTGTGTGTGTGTGTGTGTGTATTTTTTAAGTTTATTTATTTTGAGAGACAGAGCGAGAGAGCATGAGTGTGAGTGGGGGTGGGGGTGGGGGCAGAGAGAGAGAGAGAGAGAGAGAGAGAGAGAGAATCCCAAGTAGGTTCCACGCTGTCAGTGAGCATAGACCCTGACTCCGAGCTCGATCTCATGAACCAACAGATCATAACCTGAGCTGAAATCAAGAGTCAGTCACTTAACTGAGCCACCCAGGTGCTCCTTTTTAAACTGGGAGGTTTTTTTTTTTTCTTTCCAAGTTTTTATTTAAATTTCAGTTAGTTAACTGTACACTGTAATATTAGTTTCAAGTTGTAGAATTTTTTTTCAGTCTATCAATCTGTCTATCTGTGATCTCTGCCCCTAACGCGGGGCTCAAGCTCACAATGCCAAGAACAAGAGTAGCATGCTTTATTGAATGAGCCAGTCAGGTGCCCCCCACCCAGGTGTAGGATTTAGTGATTCATCACACATACAACACCTGGTGCTCATCGCAAGTGCCCTTCTTAATACGCATCGCCTATTATACATCCAATTGAATGTTAATTGGCCATAAAAAAGGATTAAGTACTGATACCTACCACAATGGCCATGAACCACAAAAACCTTATGCTATCAAAGTCACCGTACACAAAAGGTCAAATATTGTATGATTCCATTTCAATGAAATATCCAGACTAGATAAATCTATAGGGACAGAATGCAGATTGGTGGTTGCAGACGGTTGAGGGGCAGGTAGTAATAGAAACCGCTGAATAGATGTAAGGCTTTCACTTTGGAATGATCGAAGTGTTTTGGAAGCAGGGATAGTGGTGCACAACCCTGTGACTGTACTCAATGCCACTGAATTGTTTACTTCAAAACGGTTCATTGTATGTTATATGAGTTTTACCACAATAAATTATTAAATTATTTCAAAAGTAGTCATGAGGGACGCCTGCGTGGCTCAGGTGGTTAAGAGTCTGGCTTTGGCTCAGGTCATCGTTCCACGGTTCTTGGGTTCGAGCCCCGTGTCGGGCTCACTGCTGTCAGCCCGGAGCCCCCTTCGGATCCTCTGCCTCTCTCTGCCCCTCCCCGCTCCAGCTCTCTCTCTCTCTCTCTCTCTTAAAAATAAACATTTTTTAACAAAGCAATAAAGTATCAATACATGTTACAGCATGGATGAAGCTTGAAAACTTGATGCTAAGTGAAAGAAGCCACATGCAAAAGGCCGCATACTGTGTGAGTGCATTATTGTGAGTGTCCAGAAGAGGCCAATCCAGAGACACAGAAAGCAGTTTAGTGGCTGCCAGGGACTGGGGTGAGGGGAATGGAGAGAGATTGCTAATGGGATTTCTTTCGGGGGGTGATGAAAATTTTCTTAATTATCTAAATTATCAGCTATGGCTGCTCAAATTTATGAACAGAGTAACCCCCCCTGAACTTTACACTTGAAAAAGGTGAATTTAATGGTATATCCTAACTCAACTTTTTATGTCTTAATGAACTTAACTAAAATTTTTCCCTCATAGAGTTAACTGCTGGTTACCAGAGGGGAGAGGAGTAGGGGGATGGGGGAAACAGGTGATGGGGAGGAAGGAGTGCCTGTCTTGAGCACCGACTGATGCCCGCAAGTGGTGAATCACTGTATTGTACACCTGAAACTAATATTACACTCACTGTATGTTAACTGGAATTAAAGCCAAAATTTTTTTTTAATGCGGCAGATAATAAAGACAATTTAGATCTAAAACAAATTTCTCCCCGCTTCTGCCCCCTAGAGGCCGAAAATACAAACTGCAGGCACACTTTCAGCTTCGCCGGGAGAGCAGGCAGCCCCTGGTGCGCAGGCGCCTCTCAGCGTCTAAAGGCGCCGAGCGACTCGCCCCGCCCACTCAGAAGCTTCCTCCCACGTGCCGGGCAAGCTCCGTTCGCGCATGCGCCGCGAGGCCGGAGGCTCCCGGGGAACCTGCGGGCCGGCGTCCGGAAATGGCCGCGTCAGCGGAGCTTCCGGCCACGGGGTGGTGGGAGGCGTCCGTGGGCCGGGAGCTCGGCGCCGACCTTCGCGGGAGCGGCGCCCCGAAGCCAGCGCCGCTTGGTGGGCCTCCTGCCAGGTGGGCCCCGCGGCGGACGCAGGTGCCAGGGCCCAAGGAGTAGGTATCTTAAGCCGTGCGGGCCTCGCGGTCTGTCACGACGGCTCGCCTCGTCTCCGTGGACCCCGGGATCCCACGTAGTCTTCACACGTCATGAAATATTTAATCTCTTCAATCACATAAATGCAAAATCCACACTGAGCCCGCTGGTTGTACAACCCCAGGGACCACGGTTTGCCGCCGCCTGGCCAGTGCTGGGCCTGCCTTCGTGGGGCCGCGCGGCCGGAACCCCGAGCGCCTGGGCGCACAGCGCAAGTTAAAACCATTTTACTTTAATGGTTTTTTTTTTTTTTTTAAAGGAAAACCAAAT